TAAAAAAAATCCAAGCAAAAAAATGTGTTGCAACAGCACAATACAAGCAACATTTGGCTAAGCATCATCTTCAGATTCTTATTATAATTTGAGATTAAAAAAAAGTTAAAAAAAAAAAAAAGTCGCACAGACCCTAGCGTACGAGTCGTGTACGACTAAGGAGTACGAATCGTACTCGTACGAGAGTGAGTACAAGTCGCGACATAGGTCTAGTTGCTTTGGCTACCTTAGGGTTGCGTTCCCCGCGCTCACGAGGAAGACAATTCGGGGTGATCAGTTTGGGAAGAGATACGGTTTAGTGCACATACAGTCGCGAGAGGGATGAAAAGAGGAGGGGATGTAGGCATATAGAGGTCAGTAGGTGATGATTAGATGACCCTGTAAATTCGAAAAAATAATAACCTTACCCGTGCCTAGCAATGTGCACTCATGAAAGAATAGTTGATAACTGAAAAAATGTTTAAGAAATTCTTAGAGTTACCTGGCGGAATTATGGTTGAGTGTATGGTATACGATTGTAAAAGAAAAAAAATATCAATAATTGAATAGTAGTAGAGGCCTCAACAAATTGTAAACCAAACTCAGGATACACCGGGCATATCAATAAAAGGTGAGAATGTTGTGTTACCTGCAAATTTGTCACAGCGGTAGTGCGGCATAGGAACTCACTGCACTTTGAGTAGGTAAAACGGGGCGAGGAGTTTGTTGGTTGATATAGAGGCTGGTGGGCCGGTATGTTGGGCCGTCGTTGGAGTGATGCGCCCTTTCTCATTGATACAATTTTTGCTTTGGGAAGAAGCGAAGTGCTGAGCTCCTCACCTTCATAGGCAAGCTATGGCTGGCGGGCGGTGTCCCAGTTACATGATAGTCACAATTGGATTACTGTAAGCAGTGGTGATGTTTTTTTCAAGCGGCGCGCTAGCCCAGCCCCGGAGTCTTCAGGTTTACCATGAGACAGTCCATGAGACAGCCGCTTCTCGCATTCCTTTAGGTTTACCATAAGCGCTCAGATTTGGAGAGTGAACCTGGAGTCTGGGCGGACAAAGAGGCCTTTCAATTGCCTTTTTGTGCTCTCGAACTTTTGAGCCTTGTAGAGCTCAGGCTTGCAGAGTAAGTGGAGCGATGACCCACTTTCAGAGGCTTTCGAAGAGGCGCTAACTCTCTCTATTACCCATGCCTCACTTTTTCTTGTTTTTAATTTTGTTTTGTTCTTAAAGTAAGCTATATTCTTCTCTCATCTATCTCATCTTCTTGCCAGTACTCATCTATCTCATCCTCTCGCTAGTCTATGTATAGTACGGGGGAACACCAACCAACCCAGATCTCCCTAGCCCACTGGGTAGGTTGGTACCACAGCAGTGGTAGCAAGGCTGTACCAGTCCCTCATCACGGTGATGAGGGATGGGCAGGCATTGCCGATGGGAGAAATCGGTGGTGCGAGCGCCGAGCAATGGCCAGCCCAACCGCACAATGGCCAGTCACTGCACCTCCCCCTTAGCTCCCCCCCAACCGCACATCGCGATGTCTAATGGCCAATATTGTTGCTGCATAGCAACCAACAACATCAGCCAAGGTCCTGCCAATGCTGGCTTGGGGGGCCAGCGGGTTATCTCTAGCTGGTAGAACACCAAGCATGCCCAGTCACGTATGTGAGGGGATGGGGACTACTTCTGTGCCTTACCGACTGAGATAGGCCCGCCGGGCAACATTAAACATCACTTTCTTCTCCATTTGGGTTTTCACCACGCTGCTGAACGCTGCCCAGATGTCTATAGGCCAAAGCGCGTGTTCCTTCAGTGACAAATCAGGCGAAGCTGCCATTCAGGCAATGCCCTTCATCACAGCGGTGGAGTATTGTCGAATGGGCAACTTGGCGCCAATCGTTGAGTGGCAGACTGGGTTTTCAGTACAAACCCAGGCAATGCCGATGCCCGCCCCGGTTCTCTTAGCCTGCGACCGTGCTTTAGGTTCAGAGTCCATAGGCTGCACCTGGCCGTCAGGGGGTTTGTCGTTTAGTGGGACGTTTTTCCTGTTTTGGCGGTTGGATGTCCGACGGAAAGTGTTCGTTCTGGAATGGGCTGTGTTTTGTCCTTCCAGAAGGGGTTCGGACCTTGGGAAGGGGGTTTGTTTTGTGAAAATGCCCCGCCCGTAGGGGATCCGGAGGCCGAGCGTGAACCATGGTTTGGGATGTACTGCATATGCCATCTGCCCTACGTGCACGCCCTGGGACGTGGCCTTGCCGCCCTCTTTGGAGCTGGTAGTTCTTGTGTTTTCCGAGCCTGAGACGCTTGTCAACCGCCTCCCTGCCAGGCCTCCCTCTCCCACTGGTTCACTCGTGTTCCCTCCCCCTCCGTCCTTGTTTCGTCCTCTCCCATCCCTCTCCCATGCCTCTCCCGTCCTGCCCCACCCCCTCGTCCGCCCATGCCGTCCGGTCCGCCCAACCCATCTATCCCCTCCCACCGTCTCCCACGAAATCCCGAACCGCGCCTACTGCGCAGGCTGTTATGTCCGCAGGGTATGCTTCGAATTTCGCAGGGCGTGCGCGCGGACTTGTAGTGGAGGTAGATGCGAGCGGAGAGCGGTGAGCGAAGACGTCGAGCCGGCGTGTTGGAGGTAGACGCTGTTCGGTCGAGCTGGGAAAGTACCGGCGTATAGGGAAGAGGGAAAAAATGTTCGAGTGCGGGCGGAAGGGAGCTTGGAATCCACGGCCGCGAGTTCACGTGTAATCATGGGATAATGACAGGCGTTCGCGGGGAATGGGAGGCGCGAGGGTCGGGGTCCGATCTTCGGCCTAAGCGAGGATTCGCGCGGGAATGTGAGAAGGAAAAGGCACGTGTCGATCGCCAATAGGCAACGGGGATCACACGTGGCGCGAACCTGCGGACCAACGCCCGGTATATGCATGGATGGAGTCCGGACCGAAGTACAGGGAACGGTATCAGGTCGGTCGGGAGGTGGCATCTTGTAACAGGTAGGGAGGTGGCGTCTCGCGCTTCTCCACGGTGACCGGTCAGCAGGAGAAGGCTCTCACTTCCCGCGACCGGACATTGCTGGGAGAAGGCATACTAGGTAGGGGATCTTCGCCGATGGTGCTGCGCGTTTAGCTGTCAGAGGAGGGAAATCTCTTGCACTCAGGAAATAAGGACGGCGATCTCTGTACTCTACCCGGCCGCTACACGGAGGGGAGATAAGACGGAAAGTTGCGGGGAAGGTTGGGAAGGGAGGCCGTAGAGAGCGAGGCCAGCGTCACTACGCAGTCGGCGTGGAGACAGGCGAGAAGAGAGGAGAGGGGGAGATGAAGAGAGAGGTATAGCTGGGTGGTTGTGTGTGCCTGGCAGAGATTGGCTCCTGGCGCGCTTTCACGTTCGTGATTGCGTGTGTGTAAGAGAGAGAGAGAGAGAGAGAGAGAGAGAGAGAGAGAGAGAGAGAGAGAGAGAGAGGAGAAGAAGAGGAAGAAGAAGAAGAAGAAATGCCTTGGTGAGAAATGCCTTGGTGATATGGTGTCAGTAGCGCGTGTGCGCTTTCTCTGTTAAGGCTTCTGTGGAGAGAGAGAGAGAGAGAGAGAGAGAGAGAGAGAGAGAGAGAGAGAGAGAGAGAGGGCATCAGTAGCTTCTAAAGTGAGGGGGCATATGTTTTCGTTGGGCAACGGCGGGAGCGCTTCGACGTTGAAGCTGGCTCGTCACGTGTGACTGCCATCCCCTTCCTCTGGTGTATTCTGGACGATCGGGTTGCGGTCTGCTACTCTTTTGCGCGATGGGGGGATGTCCGCTGGAGGATGTCCGCTGGAGGATTATTCACCGCCCATGATGATTGTTTCGCTATCCAGGCCGCCGTTACTTTTGTCCAGATCATGAAAAGTTTGGTCCAGTGTAGGGGTGGTCAACGACGTTCGCGGTCAGATGTCGGTCGGATCGTTGATTAGCATGACCAGCCCGCTATTCTCTTTGTCGCCTTTTGTCGTCCTCTGAGGCGTCTGCTATTCACAGCGGCGCAAGCACTCGAGCACGTCTCACGAGCAAGAACCAGCTATCGAGCGGAGGGGGGAGGAGGTGGTGGGGAAACGAGGCAGAAAGCGAGAAGGGGAGAAAGCAGGAGACCGGTCGACGTCTCTTGGCAGCCATGAGCACGTCACGTTTCATCAAGTGTGTGACAGTCGGGGATGGCGCCGTGGGGAAGACGTGCATGTTGATATCGTACACAAGCAACACGTTTCCTACTGTAAGTGGTTGTTTCCTCCCCTTAACTTGGCCGAGACCGTGCCCCCGTCATCCTCCGCGGTACCAGGTTTCCTTTCTCTATTTTCTTTTTCTTTTTGCTCTTTGTTTCTCTCTCTCTCTCTGAGTTTCGCGCGCTTCGGTCCTCTGTCTGTCACCGTCTCCCGCCACTTTCTCTCTTTGTCTTCATTCCGCGAATTCCGCGAATGTCGTCCTCTGTCTGTCACCGTCTCCCCTTGATTGGATTCCGCGAATGCGGCCGACGATATCATACCCCCGGAAGCTCTCGCGCGCACCTACCTTCATGGATTGTGAAGTTGGACGAGTTATACGGGATATCGCGAGACGCCATGAGGTTTAAGGAGAGGAGGGAGGGCGGGGGGGGGAGGATGGTGTAGAGCACGACCGCGCGCAGCAGCATTACGTGTCCTTCACGCCTGCGGCAAGGCCTTGGCCTTGCCCAGCGGTGTTATATGCTGCGGGAAGCTGACCAAATCGGGCGATCTTCAGTGGGCGTAAAATCTATAAGCCTGCAACTATCGCCCTTGAGCAATCCTTCCAGCAGTACTGCAGAGCGTTACGCTTGTGAGCGCGACTTCTTCTGCGGGTAGAAAAATAAAATGGCTGTTGCTTGGTCATCTTGTCTTCTGCAGCGTGCTTTTGGCAGTGGCGGAAGGAGGAGGAGGAGGAGGAGGAGGAGAGCGAAGGGGATAAAAACCTGTTTCGAGAAATATTGGACTGTTTGCGTTTGATTGTGGTCATCATATCTCGATGTCCGGATGAATGGGCTGGGTCAGGAAGAGAGGGGGGTGGGGGACGGAGGAGGAGGAGGAGGAGGAGGAGGAGGAGGAGGAGAGCGAAGGGGATAACATGGGGGTGCATAAATCGTGGTGAGTAATGTGTGTGGGGTGAATGAGGCACACTCGAGATCGCTGATCAGTAATAGATGGTTGTGAGAACTTGGGTATTGACGAGAGGAGGGACCCTTTTGTGGGAGTGAGTTTCTCTGACTCCAGTGGTAGTTGGCTGGTAGTTGACCTGTGGAGTGGGAGACATGATGATTCGGCCTTTTGCTGGTCGGAATCTGGGTTCTGGGCGAGGGAACGTGTGGGACTCCGGAGAAGCGAGACCTGTATGCGTTGTGACTGCGCCTCGTTGAGCTCTTGTTTGCTCGACATGAACCGCGTTATGATGTTCACAGCCCCCTTGGTTTGGGGCATATCATCGATCTGTTTTTTTTTTTTTTTTTTTTTTAAAGATGTTTATGTAATCCCTGGAGGCGAGGTTTCGGCGAGAGCGTGATCTGTGAGAAAACGTTTTGTTGCGCTCTAAGAACAGCCGTCTTTTCTCATCAGATGGGATAATGACATCCCTTGGTTTGTATCTGCACTGGCTGGTTAAGAGTATTGGGGCAGGAGCAGATGAGGAAGTTCGATATCTGGGGTAGGTGCACACCCTTGCGTGCATCGGGGGCACGTGATTATTACAGCGATATATATTCTGCCGGCAAGTGGCTTGGGGAGGATGAACCGTTTGGGTATTTGATTGATTGGGCGGGTAGGACGAGGAGGGGAAGGTGGTAAGGTGGTTTTTGAGCGGGTTCCGTGTTGTTAGGGCCGATTGAGTCCCAGCTGCTGTGAAACGCTGACCATGACGACGTTAAAGGGTTTCTTTTCTTTTCTGAGATGATGATGATGATGATGATGATGATGTTGTTGATGATGATGATGATGAGATGGAGGTGTGCCAGGTTTCTGGCCTTTTTTTTTTTAGCGCGGAATGATTTTTCTACGCTGGTTACGCTCGACATTGTTTTGGACTGGTTCTAGGGGACATGGTTTGGAATGAGAGCGAAGCGGGAAGGGTTTGGCGGTGATGACTTAGCCGATATCGGGCCGACGGAGGAGTAGCCTTAAAGGGAGGGCCGATGATTGTATCTAGAGGAGGGAGGGTGCTAGGGGAGAGGAAAACTAGGGGCCGATGCCTCCTAAAAGGGAGGGCCCATGATTGTATTTAGAGCAGGGAGGGTGCTAATGGAGAGGAAAACTAGGGGCCGATGCCCGTTTACTCAAGAGAATGTGGACCTGCTGTCCTCATCCTTTCTTTTCCCGTGTCTTTTCCAAGTGCTGTTTGACGAGTGGGTCATTGTTGTGTTCTTGTTTTTTTCTTCATTCGCTTCTCCTCCTTCGGAAAAGCACGCTCGCAGGGGACATTTTTCTTCGACTCACACGAACGTTGCTATTCTTCATCGTCAATATTTTCTCCCTGATAATCGAAAATTTCGTCATCGTTATCGTTACGCTGTTAAATGTCCGCATTATTTTTCGGTTCACTAACTCTGTTCGTTTTCAGTATCGTTGTGGTCTTCAATATCCTCATCGTTGTCTGTATCATGTATGTATAGTATCTGCAATTTTCCCCTCTTCTCTTCTTCTCTGTTCTTGTGGTCTTCAATATCCTCATCCTTGTCTGTATCATGTATATATCACCGCCCCTCGTTTGTTGTCCTCTTCTCTCTCTCTGCCTACGGTTTTACCGGGCAGTTCTGTTTGTGACGATATATAGTATCTGCAATTTCCCCCTCTTCTCTTCTTCTCTGTTCTCGCCCTTCTTTTTCCGATTCCAACAATGTGGACCGTTTCTCGATTTACCTTCGTGTCATCCTTGCGCCAGGGGCCATGCTAATCTTCCTTCTCTGTATCGTTCTAGTCTCACAGATGTCCCGAAGGACGTATTCGCTCTTTGCCACCCTTACGTTTCCACCCTTACGTTTGCGCTAGTTCTCCTTCCCATTTGTTACTCCTCTTTATTTCCGTCTTCCCATCACTTTCTCTCTCTTGGACACGAGTCTGTTCTTCTTCGGCTTTCTTCATCATTCGTTTCATCGCCATTTTCGCTCGTCCTCATCGGTCTCTTCGTCACACCATCCTCGGACTTGTTTGTGCCTGCCCTCCTCTAGTTCACCAGGGGCAAGGTCCCACTTGCACGGATTAAGAGATTCTGGCCGTTGATCTTTGTTATCTACGGTCAATATCGCTTAATTTGAGTAAGTGGGACCTAGCCCCAGCTCCTCTCTCTCTCTCTCTCCCGTGCTGCACACATCTCCTGCTCGGCCCGGCGTGTCCACCAAAAGCGATCCCGACAGGGTTGTCGTCCAGACGGAACGGGAGGACGCTCCATCGAGCCACTGCTTCTTGATCCATCGGCCTTTTAGATTCCGAGAGGCTGCGGTTTTCTCGCGCTGGTCTGGAAGAACGGAGATCATCCCGCAGCCACGGAAATATAT